GAGTCTCTGTTTCATACTCCCCCTCAAAAACAAGTTAGGGTTTCATAGCAAAAGAGATGAATTACTGATGATGGTGAAAGATGAATTTGTGAAGTTAAGAACCATTTTTGACCTTGGGTGATATTAACCAAGCTGCTGTGTTATACAGTTAGTAAGGGAAAATGATGTTGAGGCATCAGTATTAGCTTGTCTGGCCACCGAGTTGAGGTGACAGCAACCTCCTCCAGTATCCTTTTGAGCCTGGCTAACAATCTTTCCAAGGAACACTCATCACTGGGCCATAAAGAAATTCCCTTTAAGGGGCTATAAAATAAACCCGTTTTCAATGAACTTGCCAATGAAGGAACCAAGAATGTCAAGCCAAAGTGTGGTTTTATTTATCTGTTTGGTTGTGGAAAGATTAAAAGCAGAATGTTTATTGGCAAAATAATTTTTTTAATCACCCACACATTTTAACTTATTATTTATAATGACCCTTTCTGCTCTCAAGAAATAATGTGTTTTGACTATATTAGGAAAACAGTTGTTCTAGAAAATTTATTTATACATACATAACAGAATTGTTAAAGCCAAAGGCAAAGCAGTGTTTAAGACTTAACCTAAATTGTCACTTTGATTTGGTTAAATAAATGCATCAACTTCCACTTCTGCTATGGAGGATTAAGTAATATGCTATGAAATTCCTTCAGAGGACAACTAAGAAGATAATATAGATATATTATAAATAATAAAAAAAGACATTTTCAAACATCAGAGAGCTAATAAGTGAGGAATTGCTTCGTAAAGATCCAAGAGAAGATGAACTTGAAAGAGGTGAGCCTGTCATGAAAGTTACTATTGCCCAAGAGGAATTTGCCAACCAGTGCTTAAAACATCCTCACTAAACTAGAGGATCAAAGTTTAGCATCCTGAGTTACATGGGAAGAAAGAAGACGTGTTCTTCATGGAATATCCATTTGTATCTTTTGATTTCTTATATCATGCTCAGGTATCACATTATTTTTTTTAAAGATTTATTTGAGAGAGAGTGTGCGTGCGTGCGCGAGCAAGCGTGCGTGCACAAGCAGGGGGTGGGGGAGGGGTAGAAGCAGAGGGAGAAGCAGACTCTGCACTGAGCAGGGAGCCCAACACGGGGCGCTCAATCCCAGGTCATGACCTGAGCCAGAGGCAGACGCTTAACCGACTGAGCTACCCAGGTGCCCCACTCAGGTATCACATTAAAACAGAAACAGATCTAAGTACTATTATTAAATGCTCTGCTCTGAGCCATTTAGTGAGTAAGAATAATGAATCATATGTTCCTTAAGATCAATGGACACATATCTATACTCTAATTTTTCTAAACATAAAAGTCAATGTTATTTTGAGGCTTGTAAACATAGTAATAGAATGTACATTTCTATTTCTTTACTCCATTTTTCAGGATCCAGAAATAAGGCTTAGACAGCAATACTTCTTTGTACTAGGGAATGCAAGTCTAAAAATATTAAAAATATGCTTTTAACGATCAGTCAAAAAATGAGACACTTAAAGAGCTAAGATTCCTGAGCCTGAATGCAATAAAGAATGCAAGGCAATAACTGTAAGGAACAAACACATAAAAGGTTAATAATGACTATAAATGCCAAGTATTTTCCATGTTCCCTAAAGGCAATATTGAGGGCATCTTATTGTTTTAATGCAACCCAGTATCCCTTCCTTACCTTGTGGTAAACAGTACTCCTCTGCAACTCCCAAACCATGTGGGAGGGGCAGAAAGCAGTGGGATTGACTCCAGCTCCTGAGGTAGCTGTCTTCTGCAATAGCCCATCCCTCCGGCCAAGGGATTGGTGCAGTGATTAACTTTGAGGCTTACGGAAATTTTATGCATTGGGATGTCTAGAAAAGAAAAACTAGGGGAAGCTATTTTGCAACTTTGAGAAAACTGAGACACATTCAATCTCCAGAAACCACCTCCCCTTCTATGCTGAGTACTATTGTTTTAATAACTGTTACTGAGTGGAGAGAAAATATAGTACAGGAGTCAAGAGCACAAACTACAGAGCCACACTCTTGGTCTTAACCTCTGCTTTGCTTCTTAACTAGCTGTGTGACCTTGGGCAAGTCACTTGAGCTATCTATGACTCAGTTTCCTCATCTATAAAATAGGAATAATAGTAGAATCCACTTGATAAGGTTGAAGTTTAAATGAATTAATCCATGAAAAGCACTTAGAACATTGCATTTGCACAGGGTAAGTGCTATATAAATGTTAGCTATCATTATTGTTATTGTAAGGATTAAATGAACTAATAAGTGTAAAGTGCATAGAACAGTGTCTGACACATAGTAAACCCTGTGTAAGTATTATTCATTATGATGCTGACTTTGGCAGCACATATACTAAAATGTTATCCAGTATTAAGACCATTCATTCATTCATTCATTCAACAAATATATACTGTCTTTTCTGTGCCAGGCCAATATCTTCATTCTAGACCAGCAGTATCCAATGGAAATGTAATGTGAACCATAAATGTAAGCCAAGTATGTAATTTTAAATTTTCTAGCAGTCACATTAAAGAAGCAAAAAGAAGTAAGTAAAAGTACTTTTAATAAAATATCTTATGTAATCCAATATCCCAAAATGATGTAATTTCAACATGCAATCAATATTTAAAAATTGAGATACTTCACATTTTTTTCATTTTAAGTCCTTCTAACCTACTGTGTATTTTGTATGCACAGCACATATGAATTCAGCCTAACCACATTTCAGCTGCTCAACAGCCACCTGTGGCTAGTTGTTAACATGCAGTTCTAGACATTGAAGGTTAGGGAACTAGAGGAAATGTTATCTTTGTCCCCCACCCACCTTGCTACTAATTACACATTTTTTTTCAATTTGCAAAGTCCCTTCACATTCATTACTCCATTTGATAGGAACATGCCTCGCTTTGAAGGATGGATTAGATTTTATGAAGCGCAGAAAATTTCCGTCAAGAAGAAACACATGAGCAGAAACAACAGGCAGGAAAGCAAGGGGTCTGTCAGGAAATTAGAAGTCAGGGAGATAAACAGGAGATATATCAGGGAATCAGTGCTAGACCAGGGAGGCTGGGCATTATTTGTTAGGTGGCAGGAGTGGGAGAAAGTGAAGGTTGTGAGCAGGAAGGAGGCAAAATTGGATTAAACTGGCAGTTAAGTATACCATAAAATGGAGTGGGACAAGCTAAAGGTAGTTCATCAGGAAATCACTGCATTAAATCTCAGGAAGAAATGATCAAGACAGGGAAATGGAAAGGAAGAGATAGCAGAGTCTGGTACTCAAGAGATCCCAATGTTAGCTCCCATCCTCCTTTGTTGACTGGTGAAATTTTTAGGGACCTTTTAGAAAGATATCCCCCCACCCCTCCCCACCCCCAGGTCAACCAACAAATATTTGGGTACCTACTATCTGCCAAGGGCTATGATAGAACTTAAGATATAAAAGGCAACAAGGCAGGTGGGGTTCCTGACTTCTTAGATCTTCTATTTTCTTGAAAGAGACAAAAATCAATTACCGGATAAATAAAATAATCTCACATTGTCAAGCACTATGGAGAAAATAATCACGGAGATGAGTGGCCAGGAAAAGGTACTCAGAAGTGGTGACACCTAAACTGAGATCTAAAGGATAAAAGGAGGTGATGTAAGGGAACCAGGGGAAGAGTACTCCAGGTGGAAGAAAAGTATGTGCAGAGTCTTGGAGGCAGGAAAGACTTGGAGGCGCTCCAGAAACTAAAAGAACAATGTTGGTAGAGCACAATGTGGGTGGGGATTGTGGCAGAAGGTACAGTGAAAGGCACAATGAAGTGGACAGGTCGTGATAAGCCTGTAGACCATGAGAATGAACTGGATTTCATTCTAAGAGCAATAGGAAGTCCCTAAATTTTAGTGTCTTAAAGGTTATATACAAGGGAATGAGAGGGTTTCTATATAAAAAAAAAAAATCACTGCAGTGTGAAAAACTGGTTAAGCCTGACAAAGGTGGAAGCTGGAATTTCAGTTAGAAGGCAAGGAGAGTAGAGCAGGTAAGATGATGGGGACACGGCCCAGGTTAAAAAAGGTCCTTGGTACAATTAATGACCCTTTGCAATATTTTTGCAAAAATGATCCTCTATGATTGTGCTGCAAAAATCTCAAAAGAAGTAAAGGATGCTGTCTCGTCCTATTATACACTTTTTTGGGGGGTAAATGCTCCCCCAAAAGTCAACATTAAACAGTTTGTTCTAGGACATTCTTAAAATCTTAACCAACACTATTAAGTGCAAAATATAATCATCTCGAAAAGGTAACCTTTTCGAGCTGACACGTTGCTTGAGCACTCGGGACTTGGCGGGGGGGGGGGGGGTCACAGCCATTAGCACTTCGCGTAGGACAGCCACGTACTAAAGCCTTGAGACAGGAAGGAGATTGCCACGTGGCCATCAATAAGAAACAGTAACAGAACGGTTTCGCGCTACAGATTTATTTTTCACGGTTGCCTCACAAGAGCTAACCATTCCATTCGCTTCTGGTGAACCAAGAGCAGAAACACTGGTTTTATAAAGAATGAACACATCTAGTGGGTGCCTGTCTGTATATTCCAAAAACAGGACAATAAAGCTCCGTGGGGTTTGGTTACCGCCTCAGCCGGAAGGCAGTGCCCTCCACACCCTCAAGTATCAACACTTCTGGAATATTCTCAGGAACTTCCTCCTGCCAGCACTTCTTCAAGCCATTGTACATGTAGAGTTTCGCCTTCCCGACCCTGGGCCCATCAAGCAACTAGAAAACAATTTCTCTTCACCGGGCGGTGGACACGAACTCTTCAACGCTCAACTCCAGGAGTCACAAAGGCGCGCGATTACGGGTTAAATCCCAAACATCACTTCCGGTCACCTGCCCGGCAGCCTTCGCTCTACCGGAAGTCGCCAGCGTGACGACGCAAAAAAAACGGCAGTCGTGTGCGTGTCCCTCCCAGCAGCCAATGGGTTCCGTCCACCTCCTTCTTCCGTCGCCGGTTGGTCTAACTGTGGGCTGTGACGTTCAAGGGCGGGGCGCAGAGGGAGATACCGAGGCCGAGAGGGGCCAAGCCCCTCAGTCGCTCCGGAAGACGGGAACAAGGGGTGAAGATGGTTTACATCTCGAATGGTGAGTTGTAGGGTCTTCGGGGGCGGCCGCTGGTCCGGGAAGCCGGACCCGGGTTTCTTCCATCCTCGCCCGCCGGCCCGGCGCGGCTTTCTCGAGGTCTCTCGGCCCTGCGCCGCGTCAGCCGAGCGTCCCTGAGCCCGCAGGCGGGGGCCTAGGTCCCGGTGGTGACGACGGTGCCGGCTGCCTGGCGCCCTCGCCCACCTTCTGACTGTGGGTGTCGCCATCGTGGTCTTTGCTCTCGGACGCCCGCGTCCTTAGCTAGTGAGGACAACAGGGTTAACACCGTCTGCGTAGCGCCCGTGTGTGAGGCGCTGTTTTAACTTTTTCGCGATCAGCTGTTCAGTCTCTACAGCAGCCCTATTCGGGTAGTTGTTTTGCTATCCCGTTTTAGGGGCGGAGATGCTGAAGCGCAGTAGGTCCAGTAGGTTGCCTAGCAGCACTAAGGTAGTTAATGGTTCAGTCGGGTTTCGAGCAGAGGTGACTGTTGTCAGCGTCCTTGCTGTTATCTACTAGACGGTCTTTCTCTAAAATGTATGAGGAGAAGTAAATAAATAGGGTCGGCTTCCCTTCCCCCTCCCCCGCCCCCAGGAGTTGGTAGCTAGTCATACACGTAATTTTTTTTGCCCTAATTCCAAGGGGCACGGGAAGAAGCACCGCCCCCTGTAGGAACAAGGTAACTATTCCCAGAGTAGAGAATCTGAGAGTGACTTAATACAGTGACTCTACAAAGAAAGTGTCTGGTGGCACCTGGGTGGCTCAGTCGGTTGAGCGTCATCGGACACTTGGTTTGGCTCAGGTCATGATCTGGGGGTGGTGGGATCTGCCCCGCTTGGGGCTCCGCGCTCATCGGGGAGTCGGCTTGGAATTCTCGCTCCCTTTGCCCCTACCCCCTGCGCTTGATCTCTCGCTCTCTCTTTCTCTCCAAAATAAATTTTAATTTTAAAAAGTGTCTGGAAAGGAAGGACACAGTGTGACTGGGTCAGACCAATGCCAAAACTGTCTGCCCACCTGTTTGACTCAGGTGAAATCAATGCCGTGGTGCAGTCTTAACAAGCGGGATCGCTGGAGCTAGGTCCTTGTTCTATTTGAGTCATCTGTCATCAGAGAGGATTAAGGCGATGAGTGAGAAGTCTTCTGGCCGAGTGCACTTTGCATTTCTCTGCACTTCAAAATGGCTCCTCTCCTCCTCGCCCAATTAAAAATGAAACCAGTAGGTTGATGGACCCTGCACAAAAGCATCAAAGTTTCATCGTGTTTGGGGCACTTGCAGACTTTGTTATATCCTTTGTGGCTAAAGGCTGGCAGCTTCTATTTATGCGTTATTGAGTAATTCTTTGTAGTATGTCTTCGTGTGTATGCATTGTCATAGTGAAGTGGGAGAGTGAGGTTCTTGTCTCACCGAGTCGAAAAATGAATCTCGAGGACAAGAGAGTGAGTAAAGCGATGGGAGTTTTATTAAGTGAGGATAAGAAAAAGCTCTCAGGAGTGAGAGGGGTTCCGACAGGGTTGCCACTTGAGGGCCTTTAGGGTTGGTCTTTTATAGAAAACTAACCAGGGAACTTAAATCCTTTTAACATCTCTATTGATAGCACCACTGAGTAAGTACTAGTAATAACACCTTCAATGGCTTACTTCCTTTTTAGGGTCCGTAATTCTTTGTTGGTCACAAGTAGCTGTCATAACAAGACCCCACCTCTGACACCTACGGCAGGGTGGTCTGGTTTGTTCCCTTATCTCTGGTTTCCTTACACCTCCATATTTACCTCCATATTTTTGTGATTTTTGTGAGCCTGATCCCATAGCCCACTACCTATCCCTCCCCTACCTAGCCTCACCTGTCCCTTAATAGTGGATCCACATAAATAAAGGTCCTATTAAGGCCTTTTATCTCACTTTTATAGTTGAGAAATGCCAGTTACATCCAAGCAACTTATTTCCCTCTGCGGATATTGGGAGGGGAGGTTTCTGCCTTTGGAAACTAGGAGGGAAAAGTGCTAAAAGCAAGATAGAACAATGCAAGTGCATACAAAGGGTTCTTTAGAGTCCCAAAGAAGGAATTGATGTGTTCTAGTTAAATGTCTTTTGGAAGGTTTGAATTTATCAGCACTTCACAGTGAGGAAACATTTCTGTTACTGTCACAAGAGTTTTTCTTCAGCAATCCTAAATGATGACTAGCCTTGCAAAACTTTTTCTCAGAGCAGGAAACTATCACATCAGCCAATGAAGCAGAGCTAGTAAGAGGCAGAACCAAGCACGTCACCCATGCTCTGTCTTGAAGTGTATCCCTTTTTTGTCAATAGCTCCATTGAGAGCTCAGGTCCAAGTGGATCCGTGAAAGTAAGGCAGACAAAGAAAGAGGAATTGTAGACCCTGACTGAGGGGGTGGAGGTGAGTGTGGTGAAGCCCTTGAGAAAATGGAGAGGAGAGGTGGTTGACAGCTCTTCTCCCAAAATAGTCTGACCTTTTAATTCTCAAGGCTAAAACTAGAGCACTAACTTTTCATGTTGTAGCTCCATTATTTAAAGTGGTTTGAAAAATAGATCCTCATTTGTGTTTAAGACAAAACTGGAGTCCATACGGGCACCTGGGTGGCTCAGTTGGTTAGATGTGCGACTCTTGATTTTGCAACTCAGGTCATGATCCCCCAGGGTCCTGGGATTGAGCCCAGTGTCTGGCTCCCTGCTCAGTGGGGAGTCTGCTTGTTCCTCTGTCCCTCTGCCCTTTCACCCGCTAGTGTGTGCATGTCCTCTCTTTCTCTCTCTCTCCCTCTCAAATAAATAAACCTTAAAAAAAAAAAAAAAAAACCCTGGAATCCATAATTAGAATCAACAGCATCCCATTACAGTGGAATTACAGAAAAATAGTGGTTATTTTAATGAACAAGGCAAATTCTCTTCAGTACTTAGAACACCCAGACTCTTTGATTTATGGAAATTTTAACATAACTGTAAAGATTTGTAAGAGTGTGTATAAACAACTTTTTTTATACAGGAAAGAGACTTCGCAAGTGAAAAGAAATATTTTCACATTTAGGAAAGTGGAAGTGGTGTGAATATTCTTCTATATTCACTCATTCCATTTGTTTCTTCAAAATACTGGAATAAACAGAGATTCATGCACCGGCATTCATAGCAGAATTGTCACAATAGCCAGTGGGTCGAAGCAACCTAATGTCCATCAACAGATGTATGCATAAACAAAATGTGGCCTATACATATGATGGAATATTAGCCTTAAAAAGAAGGAAGTTTGACACATCTACAACATGGATGAGACTTGAAGACATAAGCCTGTCATCAAAGTAAGAATACTGTCTGAGTCCTCATATGAGGTTCCTAGAGCAGTCAAATTTTTTTTTTTTTAAAGATTTTTTATTTATTTGACAGAGAGAGACACAGTGAGAGAGGGGAACACAAGCAGGGGGAGTGGGAGAGGGAGAAGCAGGCTTCCTGTCGAGCAGGGAGCCCGATGTGGGACTTGATCCCAGGACCCTGGGATCATGACCTGAGCCAAAGGCAGATGCTTAACGACTGAGCCACCCAGGCGCCCCGAGCAGTCAAATTCATAGAGACAGAAAGTAAAAGGGTGGTTGCCAGAAGTAGGGGAAGGGAGAAAAGGGGAGTTTGTGTTAAATGGGTACAGAGTTTCAGCTGGGGGAAGATTTAAAAAGTTCTGGAGATGGAAGATGGTGATGGTTGTACAACAATGTGAATGTACTTAATGCCATAGAACTGTACACTTAAAAATGGTTAAAAATGGGAATTTTTTAATTTATATTTTGCCACAATTTAAAAAGAGAAAAAAATACCTGAATTGTCACTCACCAAAATTAGGAACATAGGAAAACATTTGACGTGTTAAAAGAATGACCCCTAGCTCATAGAGCTTTACTTCCCTGAACGCTTCTTTAGAAGGATGAACACATAACAAACCTTTCCTTGTGTTGGCCATCTGGAAGAGTGAACAAGTTGAAAATTGAGTTTTATTGTTCCCTAAGCAACTAATTGTAATACATGTTGTGTCAAGGATTTGTAGTACTAACTGAAGTTTCTTTTTTCTTGTCTTTAGGACAAGTATTGGACAGCCGGAGCCAGTCCCCATGGAGATTATCTTTGATAACAGATTTCTTCTGGGGAATAGCAGAGTTTGTGGTTTTGTTGTAAGTGTTAACAGTGCTCTTACTAGCCCTGATATTTAAGTTAACAGAAGTACATTAGGTACATTATGTTGAGGTTCTTAAACAAGCTGAGCCTTTCTGAAAGTTTTTAATTATAATGTATATATTTTAATTATTAGCTTTTGCTAAGTGAAATTAAGACTTTTGTGGTGGGTAAAGCTGCCCCAAACATCTGGCAAGTATGAATATGATAGTTAAGTAGCTTGACTGTGGCTTAGCCTTGGTGGTAACCATTTCAATCTGCGTCTATGGGACCAGGCCTCCCTATTCTAATGCCAAATGACAGTGCCTCACTTTCTCTCTGCTGTTTCAGCAGTAGTGTGTGCAGCTTTTACTCCATATTATACAATAAACCAACAAGGGAGTTAGACCTTGATAAAAAATATCCCAAGTAGTAAATTTGTTTTTTAAATTGTTAGAATTAACACAGGAGACAAAAATTTAAACTTTACCATAATTTCAAGCAATTCTTAGCTAAATGCATTTTTTGGTCTTTCCCATGCTGTTTTGTGAAAATTGTTCATCAACTACCAACAAGTCTTACTCATGCTAAGTTTGAATATATATATATATTTATTTATTTATTTATATTTGAATGTCACATGGCAGAGAACTGCAGGGATGCAGAGATGTGGAAGACTGCCCCTTACTTCATTGACTTTAATTCATACTACAGTGGGTGTTGGGCTGGGCATGATTGTGGGAGGTGGACATCAGAGGAAGTTACTCCAGGTGGAAGAAACACAGGAAAGATGACAGAGAAGTTTGAGTAGCAGACTGTGATCTTTATACTTAATTGGATTGTCGCTGTGATTTAAAAAGATTAATCTGATGACTGCATGTAGCATGAATAGAAGGGGGGGGAAATGGAAGAGATGGTTCTGTAGAAAGATACAATGGGACAGAGGGGCCTTAAGTTACCCAGTGCAAAACTTCCTTAAAGTCTCACATTTCACCTACTCCCTATTGTTTTTTTAAAATATTGTTTTAACTTAAATTCTTCCCCGTCCACAAGTAAAGAAAATTCCATTCAGATGGATTCCCAGAAGCCCTGTGCCTCTGGCACACCACCTTAGTCTCCTCCGTCAGCAAAGTAGCATTAGGTAGTCTGTTGGCATGGGAAATGTGGGGGAAATGAATGTGCAATGCTGTAAAAACAGACTCTGAGGCCTGATAGCTGAGTGGAGGAAGGAAGGTGGGGATGGCTCCGGTTTCAGAGTCACTCCTTGACTCTGTCAAGGAGACCCATTAGCATGTAAGAAAGACAAGGAATGGTGGCTTTGGCCCAGAACATAGCACCTGTGTAGACATGTGCTATATGGTGTTGTCCAGCTGGCTTCGAGAAATGTGGGGTTGGAACTAAGTTGGTTTAGTCATCTGTTAACAGACATAACTGAAACTATGGAGATACATTTTATAATGTTGAAAGCGGTATTTTTGTTTTCTGCCCCTTGTTTCAGTTTCAAGACTCTGCTTCAGCAAGATGTGAAAAAGAGAAGAGGATATGGAAACTCCTCTGATTCCAGATATGATGATGGAAGAGGGTAGAGCTTTTTAAATTGATAATAGATATTTTTACCACTCCGTAATTTTAATTAAGTTAAATATTATAGATGGATAGATATAGGCTCATGGAAATATAAGGTTTAAATTCTATTTCACAAAATTAATGCTTTACTATAAATTAAGTCAAGTTGCCTCTGATTTGATAGAGTCAGTTTGACAAAGCTAAAATGTATATCAAATATCCTATGGGAAAAGTCTAAATTAGAGGATGAAAACTGATGACCACCATTAAATCTAGAGATTTCACTTTAGAATCTGGATTTCCACCGCTAAGGAAAATCAGAGAAGATGAAGCAGCACGGGGTTGGACTTATATTTCCATGGAGCTGGGTTTCAGTTGGCGTTTATTTACAGGAAGTACTGTTAGGTCATCACAATTTCTTGCTTGACTCACTTTTCTCATGTGCATTAAGTGTCTGGTCCCTGTAACTATTTGAATTTTCTCAACTACTGATCTAATTGGTTAGTTCCTATTTTAAATAAAGAAAGGGGTCTGTTTGAGTGTTTGAAAGGAACCACTTGATGTCTACTAAACAGTAGAAATTAAATTTTTCTTTTATTAGGCCACCAGGCAACCCTCCCAGAAGAATGGGTCGAATTAATCATCTGCGTGGCCCTAGTCCTCCTCCAATGGCTGGTGGATGAGGAAGGTAACTTAAAATCTGAAATTACTCTGCAGAGATTACATTTTGAAAATATCTTCTTAGAGAAGTTTTCTTCAGGAAAATAGAAGTTACCCAATACTTTGTTATTATTCAGACATCTTATTTGGAAAAATATATCTTAACCCTTGAAAAATTTGTCAAAGTGTCTTTTGAAAAAACGTTTTAAAAAAAAATTGTTGGATTTTTTTGGTGCAGATCCAAATTAATAACTAGTAACTGATTGTTATAACACTTTCTTTTAGGTAAATGTCTGCTCTAGGAAGCAGACAACTGGACATGCACATTTATAACTGAGGGAAACCATCAAGAAGTAGAGCACTGACCATTCTGGACAAGGAATTGAATGTGTATGCCTGAACAAGGATTGCTCTGTGTCCTCACAGACAAATGAGGTCGTGCTGGGAATTCCCTCCCCAGGGATCTGGCATGACTGACATGCAGTTCTATAAATGTACATGTTTGTCTCATCATTTTGTATAGTTTGTGAAAGTATTAATATAGTTTTAATAAGTAAATATTTTTAGGTTACAAAACTTGACTTCTCATCTTTGTATGATTAAAAAACTCCAAATTTGAAGAAAAATAAAAGGTTGTGTATTCAGTACAATTAGTGTCACCTTTTTAACTTCTGAAATAGTTTTCATTGTTAATTTGTTCTCATTTATAAATAAATCACATTGTATTTATTCCAGTAGTATGCATACAATTTTATCTTGAAACATATTTGTCCTATGAATCTTCAATACAGAGTATCAGATTTGCTACCAGATATAATTATCAGGGTAATTATAAAGCCATAACCAGCAAACCTGAGCTACAAAATGAAGATTGGCTAGGTGGTCTTTAAAATCATAGACTTCTGTGTTATATTGACAAATTTGAATTCTAAATCATTGCTTAAGATACTGCGTGTTGGCTTTCACCCCCATGAACGCTGGTAACTCTCATATTCTTAAACTAGAATGGAAGCTCAGTGAGGTTAGGGATTTTGTCTTTTTTACCCCAATGCTTTGAACAGTGTCTACATGTAATAGGCACTGAAATACCTTGGAAAAATGAATAATACAGATAATTCTGCTTTGTGTTGAACAGTCTTTGAACCAAAGTGTTTCAGGTAAAGGCATTTTTTTTTTTAAGATTTTGAGAGTGAGCACACAAGCGGGGGGTGGGGTGTGCAGAGGAAGAAGCAGACTCCCCACTGAGCAGGGAGCCTAACGCGAGGCTCGGCCCCAGGACCCTGGGATCATGACTTGAGCTAAAGGCAGATGCTTAACCAACTGAGCCACCCAGGCGCCCTTGGTAAAAGCATTTTTATATTTATTTGGAAGCATTTGTTCAAGTATTTGGAAGTATTTATTAGGGTTGCCCTATTTGCCAGGAAATGGAGATGTAGTGACATACTGATCTTCAAACATAAGGGGCAATTATAAGACAATTTTCAGGTTAAGGATAATAGAGACAGTTTACTGACCACTCAAGTCTGTCAGATATTTTATGTTTTACATATTAATTCTGACACACTACAGTAGGTAGATGATGTTTGCATTATACAGGTAACATGCAAGTGCTCACACAGTTTTGTGATTGTATGGCTAGTGAATGGCAGAGTCATTCTGTCAAATCACATAAGTGGAGAGGAGACCTGGGCAGTCTCGGGACATGATGGCTTCTCTGTGTGTGTGATTCATGGTCCCCGCCCCCCTGCCCCTCCACCTAACTCCCCTGCAGGACTCTTTAGGGCTATTCTATAGTCCTGACTTCCTCCGATATTTAGCTCTCTCACTCTGAGCATGAGGTAGACCGCTGTAGGGCAGAAATGTAGCCTCTTGAGTAGCTTGTGTTCAAGTCTTCTCTTTGCTCTCAATAGCTTATGCTCCTGAGTAAGTTATGTCATTCTATCCCAGTGTACGCATCTGTGAAGTGGGGATTAAATTCCTACTTAAGGGATTCTTCATTCAGCAGTATTTTTTTTTTTAAAGATTTTATTTATTTATTTTGACAGAGAGACACAGCGAGAGCGGGAACACAAGCAGGGGCAGTGGGAGAGGGAGAAGCAGGCTCCCCGCGGAGCAGGGAGCCCGATGCGGGGCTTGATCCCAGGACCCTTGGGATCATGACCTGAGCCGAAGGCAGACACTTAACGACTGAGCCACCCAGGCGCCCCCATTCAGCAGTATTTAATCCACAAGTAATTATTGGGCACCTACTATGTGCTGAAGATAACAGTGGCCAATAAGACAAAGTTCCTCTTCATGGAGCTTACTTTCTAGTGTAGGAAACAGCAGGCAAGTTAAATACAGACTTAATTCCTGCTTCAAAGGAAATAAGATAACAGGGAGGCTTCTCTGAGGTAACATTTGAGTTGAGACAGGCCGAGAAAGCCAGCTGAGGGAAGAGCACCCAAGGCAAAGGGGACAACATGAGTGATGGCTCAATGATGGGAAGGGCTTGGCATGTCCGAGAAGCTGGAAGAAAGTAAGTGTAGCTGGAAATGCCAACCGGAGAGAGATGAGGTGAATTTAGAGATGTAGCAAGGACTGGATTAAGAATGGCTTTCTAGGCTGTGGTTAGTTTAGATTCTGTTCCATGAGCAAGGGGAAACAAAGCATGGGTTTAATTTTTGAGATAACACATTGGTGGTATTAAATGAGTGCTGGGTCTGTAGTACTGACTTAACTACATACTTTAAAACTTGACACTTGGGCAACCGAATTAAGAACAGACTGAAGACAAGAAAGACCAAGCAGGGGCTTGGGCTATAAGGCTGTTACAGCCCACGTGAGATGATACGAGTTTGGGCTAAGTAGTAGCAGTAGGAGTGGAGAAGTGGGTTCTTTCAAGATGTATTTTAGCGACTACCAGATTTGCTGATGAACTGGACAACTGAAGAATCAACCTGGTATTTACTGAATTGGTGAAAGTGGCAGTAGGGGGTTTTTTGGCGGCGGGGGGGGGGCGGGGGGCGCGGTGCGGATCAAGAGTTCCAGTTTGGGCTCATTTAAGTTTGCAATGCCTTGTGGACATCCATATGGGGATACCAAATAGGCAACTGGTTATCAGTCTGGATCTCAAGGAGACTTCCAGACTGGAATCACGTATTTGGGAGTTACCTTCACATGTAAAGCCACGAAAGTAGATAAAGTCATCCAAGGGGTGTGGAGTGAGGCGCCCTAACTCAAGAACACCTTATCATCAGAGGCTGGACTGAGCATAACCAGCGCAGTATGAGGACTAGGAGTATGTGTGGGGTCTGGGAAGCCAGTTAGAGGCAGGGGTGAGCGAAGCGCGATGCCGGGTACCAGCGGCTCCTTGGTGAGCGCTCAAAATAAAAACAAGTCCGCTGTGGGCACGGTACCGCCAGGACCAATCACAGCAACACCCACCCATCCACGCCCCACCCCACCGCGTCCTCCTCCTCCGGGCGGCTCCGCCCCTCCGTTTTCCCGGAAGTCTCCGGGGCGGCTGCCCGACGGCCATCTTGCTTGCCGGGCAGCCGGCTGGGAGGTTGCGCGTGCGCGGGGCCCCTGCAGCTCCGGCGGGTGCGGCGCGTCCCTGAGGGTGGAGGCCGGTGGGCGCCCGCGGCCGCGATGACCCAGGCGGAGAAGGGGGATGCGGAGAACGGGAAGGAGAAGGGCGGGGAGAAGGAAAAGGAGCAGCGCGGCGTGAAACGACCCATCGTGCCCGCGCTGGTGCCGGAGTCGCTGCAGGAGGTGAGACGAGGCGCCGGGGGCGGGCCTCGGTGAGGGCCTTCCGGCCGGGCGGGGGAGGGGAAGCAGGCGGCGACGCGAGGCTTCCGGTCCCCACCCTGGCGGCTGGTGCGGAGAGCAGTTCCGTCCCCGGCCGGCCGCGGACCCGGGAGCCGGCTTTCACCTACCTTCCAAGCTGTTGTGGGGTGTCAGTGACCGCAGGTAGAGTTTAGTACCGGGCAGACACAGTTGGCGGGGCAGGCGTATTCCTCTGTGAAGGAAACGTCGGAGTGGAGTCCAAGTATAACGCTAGGAAAAAAGGCAGACGACTGTCTAAATAGACATGAAGAGTTTGTGTGTCAAAACCAGAACACGAGTAGAGCCTACTGACCCGAAAAAATTATTTGCAGTTGCATGGCAAGCAAAGGCCCTGTGTGTGTGTGTGTGTGTATGTGTATTCTTACTGATCAGTGAAACAAAATAAATCAACGTTGCCGTAGGAAAATGGGCAGATTCACAGCTAAAGTAAGGAGGCATTGAAATGCTCAATTTCAAGTTGGACATCTCTGAGGCAGCTTCCTAACTGGTGGATGGGTTAAGGATAACACCCAACTGGCCAGGCAGCTGTAGATATATAGCACCGTGCGGGCTCACGGTAAACCCCGAGGGCGGTTCTTACTGTTGCACAGGCCTCAGTTTCTCCGCCCGTCTAGTTGAGGCAGCTTACTGGACGGTCTGTAAGGGCTTTGCGGTTCCCAGCCTCTAGGATTCTCTCATTCTGTGAGTGGGAGGCAGGAAGGTAGAGCTCACAGTGGGGCGTGAGGCTGCAGGTGTCAGGGCGTGGCGTGGGATGGGCTAGTGCTTAAGGCCATAGGGAAGTATTGGGCACATACAGCAGGTACCTCCTCTGGCCCCGATGGCCTGGGACGGTTTAAAGGACGTGACTTCAGGATCAAGACCTGAAGAATGATTAGGAGTTAGCCAGGGGGAATCTCAGGGAAGGAGAACAGTGTGGAAGAGACCTGGGCCAGGAGAGCATATGAAGTTTTGGTGATCAGGATGTCGGAAGTGAGGAAGAAGGGGCAAAAGGTGACACTGGAGATCTTAGCAGAAGCTATTATGAGAGTCAGCCAGAGTCTGCTTTCTTCTGGAAGGCAGTGGAGAACTTTGGAAGAGCTAGCCAGACTGAGCTACATGATTAGCTTAATCCTCACAATAACTCTGAGGTAGGAACTTCATCCAGAGCAAGGAAGTGGTGCAGTATGAATTTGAAGCCAGACCTGTGAATGCAGAGCCTGGGCCC